GGAGGGACTCAGGGCAGCGAACAACTCAAAGGGGAAAGGGAACATAAACAACAGTACACATAATTAAAATACACAAAAATCACACAGCCATACCAGTCGAGAGGGGAGGGGAACTCACCAACCCCAGGCCTGCCAGCACAGCCAGGTTTTGATGGCTGTGCCTTCCCCCCCAGCCTCTCCTCCTTGCTTATAAAAGAGACTGTGGGGGGGGAGGTTTGGGGGAGGAAGAGTCAGGAAGACGGGGAAGGTTGATCCACTCAGCCTAACCATCTCCATGTTTTGATGTGCTCAAAAGGCCGAGGGGGATGCTGTCCAATTGTGCTGGAGGAGGAGGAGGAGAAGGACAGGGAAGGAGTAGAATGTACTCAAGGTGTGGGTCAGGATATATGGTCTCCCCTGAAGCTAGCTTCAAGGCCCAAACAAATGCAGGGGCCCGGGGACCACCCTACTGCTCTCTCTTTCCAACTGCCCAACCCCGGTGGGCTCGGAATCACCTCTCCAGGTGTGTCCCAGGGATAAGGGCCAAGGTAGTGGTGGTGGGACGAGTCAACTCATAGCAGATCCCCCCACAATCCCCTGATCAGGACCACAACATACCCAGCAATTAGCGTATACAGTGAGGGTGTCCATTACCCACGGCCCAGGAATTGGGGTGGGATGCTTCAGATGGTTCCCCCAGGGCCACACGGGAGCTCTGGAAGAGGCTCTTGACCCCTAGAGCAGGGGGGAAATTCAGCCGGTTCTGACAGGTTTCCGGTAGCGGAACTTTTGAGCAGTTCAGAGAACTGGCAAATGCCAACTCTGGCTGGCCCCACCCTCATCTATTCTCTGCCTCTTGAGTCCCAGCTAATCGGGAGGGAAGGGGGATTTTGCAGTATCCTTCCCCTGCCACACTCACCAAGCCCCGCCCACAGAACCGGTAGTTAAAACGTTTGAATTTCACCGCTGCCCCAGAGCCCCCTTTGGGATGCTGGCGAGGTCTTGGGGGGCATCCTAGGGACCCTTTGAGGACTCTGCAGGACTTTGTGGGGGGCTGAGACCTTCCCCCTACCCCAAACAGCAGCTTTGCCCAAGCAGGAGGGCAGCCGCGTTCCAGGAAGGCATTTCGATCGATTTCTAAGATTGGGAAGGCTGCCCACTTCAAAGATTCCCCAATTTCACCGCTATGTTGGAAGGCAAATCCATCTGGTTTGGATCCCAGCTGGGAGAAAGACACTGGACTGGAGGCCAGAGACCGATTGGGAAGAAGGTCCATATATTGATGAACCACCAAGATGGCATGCGATGCTGATGAGTGCCAGGATTTTATACAGGTCCCAAAAGGCTGCTGGGGTGAGTGTGGGTTGTGCCATGAAGGGCCCTGTGCTCTGAAAGGCTGCTGGGCAATTCCTATTGTGGCTTAATGGCTTTTGTCCTGCGCTGGATATTGGGCGAGGGGCTGCCTGTTCTAATGCTACCCCTCCGCTCTTCTTAGCTGTCAAACTTTTTCCGATACAAGTTTCCAAACATCCTGCCTTGAATGAATTTCTACCTGCAGTCTTTGCTTTGGGAATGAATGGAGCTGTCAGCCTCTGCTTCGATTGCTTGCTATCGGCTGCCATAGAAACGGGGAGGGTGGGGGCATGGTATTTGGGAGGGGGAATTACTGCTGATGGAGAAGTTATGAGAAGGGAGTTTTGTTCTCACCATCTTCTGCGCATGCTGGTGGCTTGTGTTTGGATTTGGTCAAGGCCAACCGTCTCGCATACCAACCTGATGAGGCTTTTTGAAGATGCACCCCACGTGACACCTTCAGGAGTGGCAGATTGGACGATGGGTTGGGGGATTGGGGGGAGGATGCTGGGTAAACGTTTGATATGTAGATATTCCCACCTTTCTGGCTCAGATCTTGCTTTCCTTTTTGCTGCTTTCAATTCATATCAAGTAAAAGTACTTTATTCAAATGGAGTTGAGGTTTGTCTTTCTTGGATACTGAAGGAGGCATCTAAATAGTTGGCTTCCTCTTTCCATAAGCCCTTTGATCTCCCCAAGGGCTGGACAATTGAGAAAGACTGGGGAAGGCGGTGCTGCTTTCTACCTCTAAAAATACGTTTCTCCACTTCTGCTTTAGGGAAATATAATATTCTGCCGTTTTAAAATTTTCCCCAAAATTTAAGATTTAAGATTTAATGAATTTGTATGCCGCCCAATCCCGAAGGACTCTGGGCTGCTTACATCAAAACAATTTAAAAATACTAAAAAAATTTAAAATACAAAGACAAAGCAAGTTAAAAGAACACAACATGCACTCAATTCTTAGTGGGGCTGGAACTCAAGGATCAGCAGCCCCAGGCCTGCCAGAACAGCCAGGTCTTAGTAGACTTTCGGAAGGCCAAGAGAGTGAGGAGGGTCCGGATCTCAGGAGGCAGATCGTTCCATAGGGTCGGGGCAGCTACAGAGAAGGCTCTCCCCCGAGGAGCCGCCAGTCGACATTGCGTAGTCGACGGCACCCGGAGAAGGCCCATCCTGTGAGATCTTATCGGGCGCTGGGAGGTATGTGGCAGAAGACGGTCATGGAGATATCCAGGTCCTAGGCCATATTTTATTCCTGGGGTGGGGAAGCTCTTCTGCTCCCCTTCTTCTCCCCCAGGTCCTCTGTCGGTCCTCATCTGCAACTGGAACTGGATCCACCCCTTACCTGACTTCTTAAACCCAGGCACCGAGAAAAGTGGCACATCTAAACAGCAACGAAAACGAAAGTGAAAGGGCTCCACGTGGCTTCTTTGCCTGGAAGTCACATGATGGAGGGAAAGTGGCGGAACCGCCCTCCACCCAGCCAGAAGAAATGGACTGTTTCTTCCCTTGGGCTTTTAAGCCGCAATTTCGGGTTGGGCTTCCTGCCCTGCCCCTCCTGCCCCCTTGCCAAATCCAGCCTCTGCTCTTTGCAGGCGACTTTGTAGAGCGCCCCCCCTCCGCCCCATGGTAAGTTGGAAGGCAGCCGCCTAAAATTCAGGGGAGGGGGAGAAAAAGCCCTCCCCGTTAGCAGTGGGTGATGTCCATACCCATCCAGGTGTCAGGCCTTCAGCCATAATCCTTTTGGATCTTTGGCCTGCCACACTTTCTATTATTCTATTATGCCTTTTCTATTGTGGGAAAATGGGAGGGGGGATTGTACGGAGTTAGATGATAGGTAGCCATAACAACATTCTTTCTAGAAAGCCAAGGTCATCCTTTGTCTCGGCACCTGACCGGAACTGGATGGCTGGAAGCTGCCAGAATGGAAGTGGGAAATTGGACTATGTGATGGACTTGTGGGTGTGGGGGCAAGATCTTGAACTTTCAACTGGGTGGGGAAAACTGGAAAGCTTTCAGATTC